CAGAGAAAGAAGAGGGAGAGAGAGAGAGAGAGGCATGGGGGGCACACACAGAGAAAGAGAGAGAGAAAGAATAGAGAGAATGAGAGTGAGAGAGAGAGAATTGCACAAATCTTGGCTATTTCTCTATATGAGAAATTATACTCACCCAAGTATCAACATCGTCTCATCCTATTCTCCTCTGTCCAGGACTGACTTTAAGACTATCATACAGCAAGGTGCTTGGGATGAGCTACCAATCAAAACTTTACATTCTGTCTCCAAGTAGATAAACGGGGAATAATACACAAACGTTTCCAGTGTTTTTATTTAAGTCACTGTGTGTTGGGATATACTAATTTTTGAGAATAGCATTGAACTGTGTTTTCATAGCTTAGTGAGGTACTGAGCTAAGTGGAAATTTATCAAAGTGTGAAACCATGCTTCAAAAAGAAATGAAAAGATTTAAAAATACATCTGTAGAGTAACAACTATTTTATAGCATCACATTTGATTATTGATAAAATAAAAATTAAGCATGTCCCATAGTTATTCATTCTCTTCTAATTTAGTAAATATAAGCTTTTCCAATAATACACCATGAACTATGATTTTTTTTGTACAGTCAAAATTATCCTGTGAAGATAATGCTTTGTTAAGACATATAATTTATCAATAGATATAGTAAATGCATGCCCATGAAATACTATCATTATAATTTCATGTTTCATTGACTATGTTTTGTGCCTGCTTTTTCCTTGTACTTTATTTATTTATTTATTTATTGGTTACTGGGGATCAAACTCAGGCCCTGGCACTTGCAAGGCAGGCTGCGGAACCACTGAGACAAATCCCTGGCCCCCTTGTACTTTATTTTAAAAATTATTTTTCTTGATTTTTTACTAGACCCTTATAGCAAAACTTTGGTGAAAACATATCTGTTTTTGTTGTTTTGATTTAAATAACATGTTGGCTATAAGAAAGAAAAGGTTAAAATAACTCTTAGACTGAAATATACTGTAAGTAATCAAATAAGCTTCAGGCTTTCCTACAATGGGTTTTCAGGTTCTTAACACTGACACTGGAACTTGAGATTTTTTGTATTTGTTAATTTATATTAGTTGAAAATTATGAATTAATTGCCTCCTTGTATATTAAAATATCTGAAAAAGAAATCATGAAAGTATTGTATATTTGGTAAAGTGAAAAATTACGCTATGAAAATCAAGTTCTTTTATGATTTGAAAGGATTTTCCATTAGCACTGTATATGGAGAGTGGCATTCTGGGCATTATCACATTGACTTCTTCTGTAGCTTTAATCTATATTTATTTCCCCACTGGGATCCAAGTCATTTTGTTATCTGGCGGTTTTTAAAATTTATTTTATTTTTATTGGTGTTTTGTCTATATTTTGTAGTTGCTGGGAAAATAATTATAAACTAAAGGAAAAAAAATCACAGTTTTGGTTCCATGCTAATTTTTCTCATCTGTCTCCTTATGAAACCTTGGGGTATAGAATAACTAATTCAGCCTTAATAAAGTTGTCCATTTGCCAGTGGGTTACAGACTTTATATCAGGTAAGGAATGAACAATCTTACTTTCATTGCTAGAAACTACAGTGCATCTACACAGGGAAAGATAATAAAAGCAATTATGTGAAGTGGAACATATTTTTGGAATGTATTTTCAACATAAGTGAACATGCCTGTGCAAAGATATTTTAAGTATATAAAATTTAGTATCATCTATCATTCTAATAGTTAAGGCTTGAGAATTTATTTGTCATGGGATGACTTGGCTCATGTTTTATACGTTAAGTTTTATCTAGTATGATTCATGTGCCACAAAATTTATCTTAAGTAAAAAAAAAGTATCTCATCTTCTGAATGAAGGAATTTCAGTGTCACTTTCCTTTAATCATTATAATAGTTTTGTGGAAAGTTATTAGGATAACTGAAATTTAGAAAATGAAAATTTGTGAATATTACTTAGAAAATAATTAAAGACTAATGTTAAAAAGTCAACAAAGAGATAAAATAGAAAGACATAAGTTTTAAAGGAATAGGAAGAATTGAGACTTTACAAAAAAAAATCAACAACAAAAACAGTACCATGAAGCATATTTTTGCATTTTGGGATTTAATACCACCGGGTAGCTTCCAGATCCCCATTGAACAATGCAAAAAGGTCCCCAAACAGAGACATTTAAAAATCTTTCCAGTTTTTTTTTTTTTTTTTTTTTTTGTAACCTGTGATTGAACTCAGGACCCTGTGCTTGCAAGGTAGGTGCTGTACCAATGAGCTAAATCCCCGGCCTATTTCCAGTCTTATTTTAAAGGCTCTAGTCCACATAATATCAATGTGTTAAAATAGACTTACAATCTACTCAATATAATTTCTGTTGTAAATGTTTGGGAAAGATTATTATAGTTTTGCCTTCCAAGTTAGTGTGTAAGACTTGTTCATTTCATTCAGCACCATCTTTTTCAACAATCAATATGTAGTCTTGCAAATCTTTCTGAAGGGAGAAAATCTAGTATAGACTTTCCTCCTAACAATAACAATACATTTACTCTAAAACCACTAATAAATTTAATAGAAAAATCAGTGTACACTTCATTTTTATACATTTGATTATATGTTTCTAAATTTTGATCTTATATTTTTTATGTTTTAGAAGAAGTACCCATGTTTCAGGTCCAAAATAGGATTTGAGTCCTTGAAAATTTTGGAGGCCTTAGGTGCTACCTTACATTCTGAGTTCCAAGTGTACCTTATGAATGCCTCACATGGAAATATTTAAGTATTTTGTCTTCAAAGACAAATAGATTATTGCCACTTTATAGAAAATAATAAATGTAGCAGTTTTAATTCATTGAATGTCTATTATGAGAATATTTGTTAGTTTTTTGAAGCTCAAAGTCACATTGGATTAAAGTGAAAAAAATTACTTTAATGTCATTTATAATATTATGGATTTATTGTTTAAATTAATTTTATTGGTATAGTATTGATATACAAAATGGTCACATTCATCTTGGGGAATTTGTACTTGTATATAATATATCTTTATTCTTCTTTATTACCTAATTCCTCTCTCCTCCCTTCAAATCCTCACCCCCATTTACAAAAGCTGTGTTTCCATTTTTTTCCTCCCATACTCTTTTTCCCTTTCCCTTCCTACCTATCCCCCTCCTGCTGCCCTGTTCCCCTTCCCATTTGAACATTTTCTTCCTACTTCACAATATCTATCATCCAGTTAATTCTTTGTAAGTGTGACCATGCATACACAGTTATAATTAATAAAATTTCATTTTTAGATTATGTGTTTCTCCCATTTTGGGATTGTACCTTACTCCCTTTCACACTGGATACCTGGTAGTTTGGTGTACTACTTTTACAGGTGGAAGTTAGAGAAAAGCATGATCTTTCTATCGACTATTACTATACTAGATCTTGTGAAATGATCTTCTCTAAATAACATAAACCTTAGAAACTCAGAGACACTAAGGACATAACACTGGTTAAATAACTACTAGGAACAATGTTGGGATTATGACTGGGCCTGATAGGGTTTATGACTCTTGGAACTTGTCACACCATAAGATGTAAACACAATTTCATGAAACATTCAAAAAGAATAATTTGAGCACTCATAAAATTTTAATTAGTCTAAGGCAATCCTTCTTCTTGTATTGGGCTTACTTTGTAGGCAAAGTCTGCAAAGAAATAACAATTTTAGATCTTTGAAGAATTCCATAGTGGTGGAACCCTTCTAAATTTTAGAAACAACACTATGAATGATTCAAAGATATTTATTTTCCTCTACAGATTTAAATTTGCTGCTGCAGTCCAGATTTTCTAGCAAGTGATAGACATGTGTGTTAGAAAATCTTGTGTAGGGCTGGAGATTTAGCTCAGTGGTTCCGCCACCTGCCTGGCAAGCACAAGGTCCCAAGTTCCATCCCAGGTACCAAAAAAAAGTGGATTTTCATAATAAATACTATGATAACCATATTTTGCATTGTGAAAATTCAGAAAATGGTCTTAGAAGAGTATACACACATGGGACTAAAGATGCATTATATTCAAATATAGTATGGCCTTTAAAAAATTTAGAATAAGTGATTGCTCTAAGAATTAAACTGTGCTCTTTACATGTACCAACCTCCCACAAGGAATGTGATCATTAAGTACTTCAAACATGTACTAATAAAAAAACAAAAATTGAGAGCCAAGCATGGTGAAAAAAGTCTGTAATCTCAGCATTTGGGAGGCTGAGACAGGAGAATCACCATGAGTTTGAATTCAGCCTGGGCTACATAGTGAGTTCAAAACTAGTCTGAACTACACAGTGAGACCCTGTTTTCTTTTTAGTAATATATATATATATATATATATATATATGTAGTGAGAAATAAAACCTCTTTAAATGTACAAAAGAAAAACAGTGTGTTTAGAAGCCATAGTGGATAAAAGTGGTAAGGAAGTAACACATTAAACCTCAAACTTTTATTAATTATGAATGGTTTAGAAAGCAAAAGTTCTATAGCACCCTGAATTGACTGTCTAGTGTTAGAATATTCACTGTAAACAGTACTTTTGCTCTGTGTCATTTTAGGTTTCTGGGTTGATTTGAGAAATTGTAAACCCAGTGTGTTTGCTTGGGATCTGAAAAGAGGCCTCTCAAAGGCCACTGAGGACAGAAATGCCCCATCCAGAGGAATGTGCCCTGGATAAGAATAGGAGAGAAGGAGAACTCTTATGCTGAAGACTATCAATGTGAGATGAGTGTCATCGTATTCTTGCCAGGAGAGATAGCTATAGAATGTTAATAATGCATATGCTGAGCCAAGGGATTTTTTTCTTTGTATTTCAAATTATTTGATAATTGCATTCAAAACTGAAGAAATGAAGATTTAAATTTTAAAAAGTGCATATAGAACTTGAATTAGTCATAGAAAATATGCTTAGAACTAATTTAATTTTCCTTTCTCCCCTAGGCTGCACTCTGCTTCACAATGGCCTCCCTTGCTGCAGCAAATGCAGACTTTGGCTTCAACCTGCTCAGAGAGATGGATAACAGTCAAGGGAATGAAAATGTGTTCTTGTCCTTTCTGAGTATCTTCACTGCCCTGAGTCTTGTCCGCTTGGGTGCTCGAGGTGACTGTGCACATCAAATTGATAAGGTCGGTTTTGGCTTTTGCATCAAATTATCAGGCAAGGAAATGTGCCAGGCACAGGGTGTGATATCTTCCCATATCTCCAGAAATACCTCTCCAGAAAGAAAGCACACAGCTTGAAGCACTTATTTGATTATTTGTGGTGCTGGGATGGAATTCAGGGCTTTGTAAAGGTTAGGCAAGGGCTCTACCACTCAGCTACTTCCCTAAGCCTTGGATTTTGAGTTAGCAAGCAGCAAGAATGATTCTGATTCTTTCCTTAATCTTCTGGTTCTCAAAGTGTGTTTCCCAGTTCAGTAATATCACCTGTATAACTTGTTAGAAATGCAAATGTTGGACCCCACCTAAAGGTCTCCTGATCAGGAACTATGTGTGTGGGGCTAGCTATATGGATTTTAAAAAGCTCTAGAGGCATACTCTAAACTTTGAGAACCACTGCTTGAGTATATAAATATGAGATAGTGGAGCTAGAAGGAGACACCAATGATATGCTAGTTTAGGTATTAGTTACCTAGATACAAATGACACAATAGTACAAACCAAATAACAGAAATCTACCTGAATAGTCATCACCACCACCTCCTGCTCCACCACCTTCAGAAAGGGCCTATGAAGACACCCTTGCACACAAACCCTTTCACAAAGTTATGCCCCATTCCATATGAGGCGTGAGATAGCCAAGGTCTCTCTGATTTTTCTCAGGAAATTGTTATAGAAATTCAGCAGCTCATGAGCAGGTAAAATACCCAGTCCAGATTGCATGCAGAGGTCTTGAAGTCATACTCATTTCTGCTGCTTCAAGTCATTCCAGGTTTGGCTGATTTCAGTTCTAGAGGAAGCTAGTCCATGTTGTAATCTGTTATACCTTAGTACTTGTTGAAGATCATTTGTGCAGGTAATTCGAACTTGCATGATTCTCCTCCTTTTCTGATTAGCTCAGTAAGTCTTTCTCTGGGAGCTACTATTAAGTCTAGTACTGTTATTTGGTTAAAAGGCAGAGACTTATGACTCTAAGTCCATAGTGTACCTCACTTTAAGGGGATGGCAGTAACACAGCTGAGAATGACATCATTACCAGTCTCTGAGGTAGGCCCTACAAACACAATCTTATTTGATACCCCTAATAATACTCCTAAGTGGCATTATCACTTTGACTTCACACAGGGGTTGTTGGCATGCCAACTGCGTGCTGAGAGATGTTGTACCTGCAATTTAAACTCAGTATGATCTTCTAAAGCAGAGTTTGTCAACCGTGTCTCTACTGACATTTGAGCTGGATAATTCTTTGTTGTGAGGGATGTGCTGTGTATCACAGCGAGGGAGTTTAGCAGCATCCCGGGTATCTCCTGAATACTAGCAGTGCTCCCCCATCCACATTCATGCAAAACAGAAATATCTCCAGAAATTTTGTCTCCTCCAAAATCAATCTCCAGTTGAGAGCAACTGTCCTGAAGCCATCATTCTGAAATGCAAGTCAGAGTACTTTACTGCAAAATTTTAAAGTCAGTATGTTTCTAAATAAATATAAATGTTTTGAAAAAAATCTAGCAGCAAGTAAAAATGTACCCATCCATAGATAAAATATATGATGTTTAAGAAAAAAGTAAAAGAGGAATAAAGCTATATCATGTACAAGTATGAACTCCCTTTGAAGAATGTAATTTTTATAAAATTAATTAATAAAAAAACCCTGAGTAACAAAAGAACTTGATGAGGGGCTGGGGATGTAGCTCAGGGGTGGCACACCTGCCTGGAAAGCACAGGCCCTGAGTTCAATTCCCAGTACTGAAAAAAATAAATAAAATATCTTGGTGAGAATCAAGCTAGCAAAGCAAATAAACACTTTTTAAAAGTCGGGCCTATAATTTTGTACCTATGATAAGTTCATAGACCTCATCATGCTGTTATAAGCAGGTGGATGGTTGCATGTGAATTGGTTGAGAAGGAGGGTTCTTCTGTTACATTCCATATGAAGAGTCAGTTGCTTCAAATGTAAATCAAATCAAAAAGCAAATAATCAATTCAGGAGTTTATTTTAGAGGAATAATCATTTGAACATAATTTATCCACCATAACGTTTGGCTCCTATGTTCCCCGTCTTGATTTCAGCTGCTTACATAAGTTAAAGAAAAGTACTCTAGAGAAGTGGAAACATATACCCTCCCCAAGAAATGTGTGCAGATGTTGAGTAGCATTAGTTGCAAGAGCCAAAACAGGAAACAATCCAAAGAGCAACCAAGTAGTAAAGTGCTAAACAAAACATGCTATACTTATGCACTATAATGACATTTGACAATAAAAGATTGCATATAATTTGTGGTATTTATTCCTTAAAGATTAAAGTTATGAAGTAGGTTGAATGTGGGGTTTTATTGTGGGAAAGTTTTACAGAATTAATTTATCATCTTGACTGTGTAACTTAAAAAAAGAACAAAACGAAGTAACAGTGTCATGGAAACACATTGGGTCTGGGAGTTAGAAGATTGCGTCCAAATTTTGACTTTAGGAAAATTATTATTTTATCTCTGTGGGCCTTTGGGTCCTCATTTCCCCATCAAAGAGGTCAATTTGACAATATTCAATTAGAAAAGGAAAAAAAAACCTTCAAAGTTAAAGTTATTGCTATTTAATATATCAGCAATGATGAGCAGGGTCCACTCCACCACAGAAGTCTGCCTTTCACACAACAGCAGACTACCCAGGTCTTATTTACCATGTAAGTAAGGGGCAGTCCTGCAGGTAGCAGGGTGAAAGTTTGGAATTTCCTTGATGCACACTAGTGCCTGGTACCTCATGAGTCAATAGCTCAAGGGAGGTAGGTCACAGAGAATTAAAAGAGAGGCTGTCTTGTTAGAGTTGCTCTTTAATATTCACTGTCCCATCAATTACTTCCAGGTGTGGTTCTATAACTCTCATTATAACTTACTATAAGGGACTTAAGAGAAAAAATGTCAATACCACAAAAGTGCTCCCATAATTTATTTGTACAAAGTGCCAGTCTTTTGCAAAATGCCCTTTGGAAATTAATCTTTAGGTTTATCCATGCCTTAATTAGTCATTCTTTATGACATTGGACCCTTAACACCACAGACCACATGTTTATATTTTAGAAAGACCCAAGTTCAATCAATTCAAAGATAATTTGTGTTTTCCTTCCAAGTGTCTCATTCAAGAATGACAATGTACATCTGATCGTCTTTTTTCTTCTCTTTGATTCTCAAATTGTAAATTAGGGCAATAGAAATCTCTTAATCCCAAAATATCTTTGCTTTCTTACTAATGCTCTGACTTGGTTTATCTTAGCTCACCTAAGGGCTCAGCTGTTCTTTCTGAAGCCTTGGCTCATTTACTGCATTAAAATAAAAAAAATCAGAGTTCTTTAAGGTTCAGTAGAGTTAAAGTACCATGAAGGTTTCTTGGCATTTTAGTGAAAGGCCCCAAAGAGTATATTTATATATCTGATTGTATGTTCAACATTTTTTATTCATCTGTAATATTACAGTCATTTCTTATCTCATTCTAATATAAAAGTGTAAACAGTTTATTTCCCCTCCTTTCTTCCCTTTTATGTGAATTTTTATCAAAATACATTATTAGTATTTATATTCACCTGAAATCATGTGTTCCAGGGTCAATATTATTTAAAAGTTATAAAAATTGGAATTTTATGAAATAAACATTTAAAAAATCATACTCATAGCATATATTTTTATTCTACCATTCTGTAAGTAGAAATAACAGTTGTATAATTTGGCATGGTCACAAGAGGAAGCCTGGAGAGAAATAGATGATCCACAGTCTCTTGCAAAAGACCTTAGAAAGTTCAAGAAGATTAATCTGACTTAGGATAAATTTTGGCCAAAAAGGTGATTTCTTTTCTCTTCACTGGGTTTAACATTAATTTCTAGATTCTTTTTTAAAAGTAATGAATAATATGGGTTAAATCATGTCATAATTTTCAAAGCCATTCATTAGGTAGACAAAACAACATTATATAACAATCAACTATAGCAACCACTGTATTCTCAGCTTTCTGTGATTAAATTTTTCTTCCTGAACTGTTCCAAAGTTCAGAAAACTGGACTTTCCTACTTTTGCTATCTTATTTTAGGAAAGAAAGGTATAAAGGAGCCATTCGTGGTCAAGGTCAACGGACACAAGGCTAGCCACTGCTTCTCTTTCTCTTCTTAATCTGAGATGATCCACAGCCATGGCTTCTGTTTGCAGCTTTTCCTTTTCATTTAAGAGAAAAACTTTTGTTTTCTGATGTAGATGCCACAGAGATACAAGAATGAAACAATTATAATGACATAGTTCAAATTATAATGATTTGTGTTTTTATTTCCTTCCTTATAGGAGTAAAAATAAATGATTTAATGTATCGGGGGAGGTCCTTGTCAAATCATCCTGTGCTAATGAAAGGTTAGCTACTCCACAGGAGTTGCAAAGTGAAATTGATCATAAAATTGAGGGAGGATTAAAGACCCAAAGTACCTCACTACATTCTCTATTCTTTCAATCAAATGAGAAGAGGTCATATTTTTTAAGACATTGAAAATCCATGTGTTTTCCTAAATCAAAAGAAGAAAGAGAGAAGAGTTTTATTGTGCATAACAACAGTGAACTAGGAGATAGATGGCTTGCAGGTTGACATAAGAATTCCAGGCTACCACCTCAGTATTTGAAGGCACCATATTTGTGAACTTTAAATAATGACTGCTTGCTGTATTGACTTGGCCTTATTTCTCACTTCATTTCATATTGTTCATAAACAGGAGGTAAAAATTGAAGTAGTTCCATTTTCTGTAGCATATGAAGACTAAAGTTGACACTCATAGCCTTTGTAAGTTTTTATACTACTTTTCCTTCACTTTTCCCCTACTCATAAGGTAGTGATGTTGATTAGGTGTCTAAAGCCTTGAAAATGAAAGTCCTGACAAATACTGGTGAAGACATTAGCTGCTTTAAATAGTTTTCCATGCAAATACAGAGTCAGAATGGCTCTC